CTCTGCGTCCATTTAAGGCAGGATAAATTTTTCAGTCACAGTAGTTGTCATGTCAGCCGAAGAGCGAGAGATGGAAAACCGCATTGATTGTCTGACATTATGTTATTTGAATCAAGATGGGGTATGAGAAGTTTGATTATGAAAAACTCAAAAACCATGCTGATAATAGAAATAAGACTGATCAGATGACAATGGGAGGGGTTAGAATGTTTATCAAAGTTTTTGAAAATTGAAACAATAGATGCTATTTTCCAGCAGGGTGGAAAGCAAGACTCAGTCAAGCGCTTACTAAATAGTTTAGTAAGAATTAAAATGAGGTCTGTAGAACAACATTTTGAGATATTAACAGGAATGTTGTCTGGGCAGCATGCTTTAGAAAAGTTTAATCGAGCTAAGACTTTATCAGCAGAAGCTGGAGTGATATGAATATCTAAGAATGGGTTTACCTGTTTAAATGGAATGGAAGGAAGAGAATGGCCATAAGATTTAAAAGTCAAACTAGAAAAGTTTTTTGCAAACAATTCTGTCTTCTTCTTTGAGAAAGGTAATAAGATCAGTTTTTATAAATGAGATATTGAATGTTAGACCAACCTTTTTTAACAATAATATTAACGATTTTTAAAAAGATTGTAGAGCCTTACTTCTGACACGAGATATAAAGTTTAGCGAACTGAGAATAATGGAGCTTAGCGTCGTACAGAACCTTTTTACATCGGTTTATTGCAATAAATAATAGCGTATTATTCTCATGAGAGTTCTTCTTAAGAAAATGATAATTACGATTATATATAGCACCTGCACAAGAAGGTGAAACCTGTGGAGTAAAACCAAGCTTGACTTGGAACCGACAAAAAGAAATAAAAGTTTCCATTTCTACCTGAATCCAGAAGGTTACGCAGGAGGTGCATTTTTCAGCTGAAAGGATAAAGACATCAGCCCAATGACCGCCACAAAGAAAATTACAAAAAGAATCCCAGATAGCTTTAGGGTAGTAATAAGTAGTGCGGTGATAGGGTTAGTCTGAAAAGAAAGTACAAAATGAAAGATTAAAAGAGATCATAGCATGGTCAGAACCACTTTAAAAAGAAAAAAGAGAAAATTACCACAAGCTAGGATCAGACACTAGACATAAATCTAAGAGTGAAGATTTGTTTTAGTTTATTGTTGTCAAGAAAACGAGTCAAAAAGTTAACTATTTGAGTAATGATTTGAGAAATGCTAAAGTTATGAACTTTATTGTCATCAGGATCAGTGGCAAAACCATTCAGCATAATGAGTATTTAAGACACCAATAACAACTATAACAGTTTGAAACATATTTTGTTTTTGAGAAGTTTTATTAAAAAAATGTTTTATCAAAAAAATGGACTTAAATATTTTTTCAATATTTTATTTGTTTTCAATATTTCAAAAGTCCATTTTTTTAACAAACTTGTTAAAAAAATGGACTTAAATGTTAAAAAAATTTCAAGAGAGGTTTGTGATAACTGCAAAAAATTACTTAAAAAATTGTATTAAGATGACAAAAATATTGCCTTAGTTGTTTAATTTTGAGCCAATGCTAAAATTACTTAATTTTGAGCCAAATTTGATGAGCAGTTACTCGAAACTTTTTGATTTGTGACTGTTTAATTTGCATGATTAGAAAAAACGCCTAATAAAAAATGCCCATTGAATGACAACAACAAAAAAAATAATACATCCTCATCGTCAAGCACAAGAGCTATATTTACGCAGCAAATTAAAAAAAGAAATCCAAAGTGTTGATTAATTATTGGTAGAGGTGGAAGTCATATATGCACTGCTGGAAACTTGAAAATTTTAGTGTTAAATGATCCAATTGAAGCAGAACAAATTGCATCATTAGTTATTGCCAAAACGGAATGATCACCGTATGGTAACATAAGACTCAGCCAGGTCACCAATGGCAAACAGTTCACTACAGGTAAAAAAAATTATTAAAAAGTTTATATGTTTAGTTTTAAATGTTTAGTTTAGTTTATATGTTTAGTTTAGTTTATATGTTTAGTTTTGAAAGTTTATAAGTCTATATGATTCTTTTTATATTAAACTAAAAAATATATAAACTTAAATAAAAACCAATTCTTAGATTTTTCAGGACAACCAAAAACATGATTCTTTGGCATGTACTCTTAAAGCCCAATTTCTGATTCAGCTCAATACTGAACAAGTCAACAGGATTCAGACCGTAACTTGCACAAAAATTAGCGGCAAAAGGAAAAAACACTTAACATTATTTACCTTCCCAAAAATTACATTTTTCAAAGATCACAAGACAGTATACCAAAACACAGATATTGTCTTGAAAGTAAACAATCATATTTTTCTTAAAAGAGAATACCTGACAGATTCTTTTATAAAAATTGGATTTAATGGTGGAGGATTATTTTCGAAAACGAGTTTTGGTCTTAATAATACATTAAAGAGAAATAAAGAAACATCTAGCCCTCCAGAAAAAACTCAAGTTTTTTCTGGAGGGCTAGATGTTTCTTTATTTAAAAATGTTTCTTTAGTTAAAGATGTTTCTTTATTTAAAAATGTTTCTGTAGGGCTAGATGTTTCTTTATTTAAAGATGTTTCTTTAGTTAAAGAATTCAATAACTCGAGATACTGGAATCATAGCAAATGAAGCGCCTGTTAATTACAGCAAACTGCAGAAATTTTAGAATCCTATAAAAACAATATAATATTTTTATATATAATCAATATAAATTATGATCGGTTTAATACTTTATGCAATCCTAACATTGCCAATTTTTTGTGTGGAATTCAATCACATTCTTGCGGTTAGTGTTTTTTTTTATCAGTGTAGCAGGTTAGCATTCGGAAGTCTAAAGCCAAATCACTGAATGTTTGCTGCATCCTTATGAAATAGTAGCAAATTCAAGGAATTCAATAACGTGATAGATCTTTTTTGATCATAGCTGAAAACTTATTCTAGATTAGATTACACCAATTATGTTTTATTAAGAGAATAGAAAAAATCCTACATTTTTTCGCATAGGTTTGCTGAAACATTTAAGCTCTTTAGAAGTGTTTTTTATGTGTTTTGAACTAACTTGACAAGACAATTTTATGGAAAAAAGCAACTGCTCATGCGTTCATAAATCTTCTTGCTAGTAACTATGACTCATAAAGAAAATGCTATTTTATTCAATAGCCCAAAACTAATTAAAAACCAAAGTACTTTTCTTGGATTATTTAGCAAAAAAAATGGTCAAAGACATTTGTAGTTTAATTTTTATCAATCAAGAAGGCTATTCTAGCTGTGCTGACAACAATGTTAGCACAGCTAGAATAGCCTCTTAATAGGCTATTCTAGCTGTGTTGACAACCCTCTCTCAATTCCATTACTCCGAAACACAAACCTTAAAGAATAATGTCGTTGCACGAAAAAACAAGTTGACTGCAAAAATATATTTACACTTTAAGTGATATTTTAACTAATTATATGCATGATTAATTTAATTTTATCAACCTTTCTTCATTCAAAATGAGAAAAGGAAAGAGTGTTAGTTCTCATGTCAAAAAATTAACCATTAATTTTTAGACATGAATCTTATGTCTCATTGTTAAGTTGGAAATTATTTTAATGTTTCCACGACTGCAGTAGGACAGCTTGTTCAACTATATAAAGTTCAAGGAAAAAACAAGTTTAAAAGGCAAACAGGCTAACAAAAAATTATTAATGAAAAAGAGGTAAAACTGCTGGTAAGAACGTCAAAAGAAAGTCCTAGAAAATCTGAAAAATGTGGCTTTTAACGCTGAAGGCTTTCTTGCTTAGCAGAAAACTTACTTTAGCAGAAATTATTGTTTTATTAAAGAACCTCAAAGTTTAAGTTGAGTTCACAAAAAAATTCTTAGATTAGAAACCAAACTAGAAGACAAAGTTTATTTAGAGTAATAATATTCATGCTATATGGGTTGGATGGAATTAAGTATTCGTGACATCTTGCAGATAAGAGATTCAATTTTAAGTACCAACAACATAATGGTGGCAATATTATTATTTGGTGTTGCTTACCCATGATTGTATTTGATTTATTCTTCATATTGAAAAAAAAAATGGATCAGAATGTGTAAGAGGAGATCATCGATGATAAAATGCTTTGTCATGCGAGGATAAATTGCTACAAGGATGGATATTTTAACAAAATAATGATTCAAATTTTATTGAAGTCTCTGTTAAGAATTTCTGTTCTAGCAAAAAAAATTTGTATTCAAGTGGCCATCAGAAAATCCTGATCTCAACCCTATCGAGTATTTATGGAGAAACCTAGATGGTATTCCCATTAATTTAATGGTGAAAAAATCAACAAATAAGTGTTATTTAATTAACTTTTTAATTAAATTAAGAGTCAAAATGTGCAAAGATTACATTAGATGCTATTATCTTTGAGATTGACTTTAATTAAATCTACTTTTTTGTATTTTTTAAAATTTTATAAAATTATTTGGAATAATAAAACTATAAGCACCCTTTTCCTTTTGACACGCAGCGAAACGGTTATCCTTTTTTAATTACATAACTTAATGTTATTTTAAAATAAATATTTATTTTAAGATAAGTAGTATTCTCAGTTATATTCAGTGAAATTTAAGGAATATTTAAAGCGTTGCTCAAAACTTATTACAAAATAAATGACTGCCCTTATATTTTAAGACGGCACTATAAGTAAATATGAATATATATTTTTCAATATCTTTAAAACAAACAAAATATTTATTTCCAATAAAATAAAACTTCAGTTAAATAAAACTATTTTGATGACTTAAAGGATTTAAAATAAAATAAAAAATTCTTTCGAATTCGTATTTATAAATAGTTATTCCTGCAGCATTAGCTATTATCTAGTATATAATAGACATAAAAAATAGGTAGAGATGTCTAAATTTATTTTGAGATTTTTTAATGCATGTTACTCTACAATTAGAAGTTAAATATTGAAAAAATTATTTAGAAATACAAATTAATTTACCAAACCATTCCATGATTTCTGTATTGTTACCTTGACACCAATCTATAACATTTGAAATCTTGCAATCACGTGATTTGTTCAAAAATTTATGAGAAAAATTACAACTTATCAAATCGCTCCACTGTGCCCAAATAGCTTAAAAGAAATCAACCTTGAAATTGATTCAATAAAATTCTTATATCTTAATCAATGCAAAAAAATAATAATAATAAAAAGAACTTTTTGTTTATGATGTAATGAAGCACAGTCATGTTCATGTTTAACATTATTAAACATTATTGATAATGATGACAATAATGATGGTGACAATGATGATGATGATGATGATGATGATGATGATGATGATGATGATGATGATGATGATGATGATGATGATGATGATGATGATGATGATGATGATGATGATATACAGTTAACCAATGGTATAACATATATATAAAATATACATATATATATATGTATATATATATATATATATATATATATATATATATATATATATATATATATATTATATATATATATAACAATGTATTTTTTATTTAACCTCGTCAAAATAAACAATTATATAACTCTGATATCATTCATCGACCACTCCTGCTGAATATATGCTTACAGCAAAATTAAACTTGCTTAACTCACACACATTATAAATTGTAAAACAGAAATTTTAAACATCCATATGATTATATGCTTACTTTAGTCACTGTTAAGTGTTCACAATTGTAAATTTGAGTTTAAGAATTTAGCATTAAGGTACTTGTCACTTTTGCAGGTAGTGTAAATGTCTTCTATTATTTTGACTGTTCTTTCAGCCACAATGTTCGATCGTGGAATGTCAATGACTGAAAGCTAATTTACCCAATGCATTTGAAAACACTTTTTTGCTTTCTGGAAATCAAATTCTGAAGCAGCAGAATGCAATTCTTCAAAACTGTGTTCAGTGAAATGATATAAAGTTGCAGATACTGCACAGCTGCTGACGATGTACTTCCAGAAGAAAATAAGCTAGTAGAGCGTATGATGCTCTAGAGTTCCATATCGCATTTTGAAGTAATCTCGCCACTTGATTTTTGGAAATTTAGCGCATTTCTTGTACACTTTGTAAGCCTCGCAAAGTTCGAATAGAAACTTGAAGTCATTCCTCCATCTAGCATTTTCAGAAGCAGGTATCTCGACTTCACCTGTATATTTTGTCTAAAGGTTCTCATACTGACTGCAAATGTTATCAACAAACTCATAGTTTATATCTGGTTTCTGTGAGACTGTTGGAACACAGAAGTCAAGTAAATGTCGAAGAACCAAGTCAAGGACGTGGTGTTGACACCCAATTTACTGCGGTCTAATAAAACATTTTCTTTCAAAGTTTATAAAGCCGAGCGATTATTCTATTTCTGCTACCAGTGTGGACTGCTGTTGTATCGCACACAATCATTTTAATACTCTTCCACGCATCAAAGTCATCTAAGATCTTCTTTAATCATGAAAATATATTTGCAGCCGAACCAGATTCACATATGATGATACCTAAATTCAATTTCTTTAAAGGACTTTGCA